TCTTTTATTCCCTCCCTTTCTCCTGTTTCATACCTTCTTCCCCCCCCTCTTTCTTCGATGTATCCTTCCTTCCTTCCTTCCTTCCTTCCTTCCTTCCTTCCTTCCTTCCTTCCTTCCTTCCTTCCTTCTTTCCTTCCTCCCTCCCAAGTGGAAATTCAAGCCAAGGCAATGCCAGAGGTTTATGGTTAGATGATAAAGCTCAACGCAGCATAACCACGAACAGCGAAGTCATTGTCCCACTGCAGTCCCGTACCACCAGTTCTTTTCCCAGAGCCCGGTATACTTTCCCGAACTGCTTCTTTTGACTCCCGGCAGCCTTGACACACGGCAGCTCGTCCAGCTGGTGCCCAACGAGGCTGCAAACAATTTCCTTTGTTTGCCTTTTCCCCTCCCCAGCGTGATGAAGGAAAGTCTGAGCTCCTTTGTCCTTCAAGATTGCAAAGGCTGCTCAAGAGCATCTCTTTCGCAGCTGATCTATCCCCCTCTGAGGGGAAGTTATTCCACAGACGCTGGTTGCAAAACTCTGCCTCCCCGACTACCCCTCTGCCAGTGTAAAATGGAGCCTCTGGGGTTTCACGCTTAACTTCCTCTTCTTTCCTTTCTCCCCACCCCTGCTTTCCCCGCTCCTTCTATTTTTTTTAATGGACATTTCTAGATTAGGAACAGAGATTTAGACTAAAGGGATGTTGGTCTAGGGAAGACAAATTAATTTTTGGTTTTGGCTATCCAGAACGATAGGCGAAATGCAGGAGCTCAGCTGTAGGTTTATTCATTTATATTGTTTTAGGCATTTTGGATCACAAACAAATGTTCACGGGGTTGGGCCAAAACTTAGATGCCGGAAGAAAGGTAAAGATGTCCTTTTTTTTCCCCCTCTGGCAGGACTTAAAAACCCAGAGCCCAAATATCTGGAATGAAGCCCTACAAAGTTCATGTTTGCAAAAGTCAGGTCTACTTTCTTTATAGCAGGATTAGAATAATCGTGTTTAAAGAATAACATGGCTTTAATATTTCAAAAATATCATTTGGGTGACTAAATAATATTTTTTTAAATCTGAATTGCAATATCTTTTAATAAATTTGGTACACACTGAGACTTTCAGTTACTGAGCAGATGCTTTTTTTTTGCTGCCCTAAATCTTCTAACTGGACCTTAAACCCAAATGCTTAAAACTCCCAAGTTTTATCTCTTTGGGTGGGGTCTTCCGAAGATTACTAAGTGGCAATTGCCCCCTTGATCAAGGTGCTCTATTATCATCCAAACTATTTTATCTCCCTTTCTTTATCCCTCTCTGGAGGTGGAGAGAAACCATTCAAAACTTACTATGATTCAGGAAAATTGAAGACCTTTTGCCAATATATTCTTGATTAGTTGAGTCCAGGGGAAAATTACTTCTGTATTTTTCCCCGAGAACCTATCTGGCTCGGACCGGTGAAAGGCAGGCACAGGTAGTCCTTGACTTATGATCACAATTGGCACCAACATTGGCTGTTAAGTCAGTCAGTCGCACCTGATTTTACAACCTTTCTTGCCACAGTTGTTAAATGAATCATTGTAGTTATTTAAGTGATCCTGTCTTCCCGCATTGACTTCGCTTGTGAGAAGCTGGCTGGGAAGGCCATAAATGATAATGACATGGGACCCCATGATCCCGCAACCATTATAAATACATGCCAGTTGCCAAGTGTCAAAATTTTGATCGCATAACCGCGGGAGATGCTGCAGCGATCTTAATTGCAAGAACCAGTTGTAAATCACTTTTTTCAACACTGTTATTAACTTCAGACGGTTGCAAAATGAAGGGTTGTGGGTCAAGAACTACCTGTATGTATCCTCTCTATATCTTTCTGTTTAGAAAAATAGCTTCCAACTTTGCGGGTTGTTGTAAAAAAAAAAGCCCTCCCCCGCCACCTGTGTAGCACAGACTAAAGAAAATTGATTTAAGCTCTGAATTTTGCAGTCCAAATTTCAAGACTGGAGGAAAAGAAAGAAGCGATGTAGTGGATTGGAAGGAAGTCTGGTGTTGCCAGGGGGACAATTTTTGATTATGGTTGTTACACACAATGTCCAGATGAGCAGTCCCAAACACTACCTTTAAAGGTGTGTTAAGGATTTTTGTCTGCTTTTATTTGGGCAAGAAGATTGAAGCAAGTCCTGGTATTAGCAAAAGGAATTCACCGATGTTAACTCCATCAGTTTTATTTTAATCGTATCGATTCATTTTTTAAATATATATTCTGAATTTCTTTTGCCACCTTAGACGCTAATGCAAAGAGAAAGTCAGGCTTTAGCAATAAATGAGAATAAAGAAAGCAGCAGGAATTTTCACGACATAGTAAAATGACTGCTCAATAGAGATCTTTTGGGGTCCTAAGAGGTAGGATAAATCTAGGAGCTTTGGAATAATAGTGAGAAGACAAGTTTTTATTTTTTTTATTTTTTGAAATTAGGAAAAGTGTTGGCATATTGCATGACTTAAAAAAAACGGTCCAAGCATCCTATGTAAAGGACTTTTACAGTTCAATCCTATATGTATCCGTTGAAATTTCATTGAATTAATTAGAGCATATTCTTTTCCAAATGAAAACGATGTTGCAACTTAGTGCTAGCTCTGGAGCACAGAGAATCCACACCATTTTTATTTGTATGTTGAATTTACATATCCTCCAATTGTTTTTGATATTTTTCGGTAAATATTTGCATAACCTTTCTATTGGCTCTGTCTTTGTTTTCAGTTATTCTGTGAGAGTCTGGGTTTTTTTTTTTTTACATGGATATTTCTCACTTGCATACATATGTGGTATACTGTGTATATATATATATATATATATATATATACATATATTTCTGCCTGTATTTGTGCATTATATTCATATATGGAAATAAGGATACTCCATCAGCTTCTCTGTCTCAGAATGTGGGCCTGAAGCGTACCTTTTTAAAGCAAATCTATCTTAAAAGTAATAAATAAATAAAAATTAATACCTCAGCACATTCTGACGAGGAGATAGGCGAGAAGGATGGGGAAAGTGCCTTCCAAGGTGGTTTGCTCAATGTCTCTCTATTTTAATAACCAGATATAAATACAAACATCCTCATGTTTATTAAAAAGACCTGATACCATTGCGCTAGGAATGCATCAAGCACATAAAAACATCAGCCTCAAAGAAAACAAGGAAAAACAATTTCCCGCATGCCGTCCTATTCCCAGAAGGAGGAGAAAAATATCCTTTCATTTCCTCTTAAATTTTGTGTTGCCTTTTTTTGTTACTGTTGTTGGTTTTTGTTTTTGTTTTTTTTCTTGGTTGAGTAGCATTTCTTTTATACAAGTGTATATATATTTTTTTGTTTTTCTTTGTTTTACTGTTTTCTGCAGATTCTGGCCTCAGCAGTCCTCTCAGTGACCCTGAGCTTGAACTTGAAAGTTAGTTCCTGTGTGTTTTTGTTCCTCTCTGTTTCATTGGTTGTATATTCCTTTTCCATCCACTCCCCGCCCCAAAATTGGCTTATCTTCTGTTGCTGTTCCTGCCCTGGCATTTATGTTTTTTCCTCTCTCTCGCTCTCTCTCTCTTTCTTTCTCTGCGCCTCCGTGTCTTCTGCCATCCCCTGTTTGCGTCTTGCGCCATTTGTTTTGTCTAATTGTGCTTCCAGTTTTACAGTTTTTCAAGCCAAAAGGCCTTTTGCAAAACGACCAGAGCCAGATTTGTGTCTGAATCTTGGTGTATGCTTATATATGTCTGTTAAAATACTATTAAGTCCGTGCTCATACGATTATTGGAGGAACATCGATAGAATAATCCTTTCTTTTTTATAAAGTAGCTCAGGGCTGGAACTACTGGGAAATTCAGCCTTCATCTTTTATCAGCATGCTAGATTTAGATTTTGGAAGCCACACCTACTTGCTAGCCTTCCCTTCCCTACTTATTTCATGCACATTGCTTATGTTTACACAGCATTCTTTACCAGGACCGCTAAAGGTCGTAGCGGCATTCACACAACACACTGTAAAACGTGTCTAATGTTAATCTTGGTTAGTTTTCATTTTGTTTGGGGAGTTTGAGTGTGTGCGGTTTAGCAAGTTGTGCAAAGCTAGCCTGTTTACGGTTCCATGTATTCTGCAAAGCCCTCAAACAAGTGAGTTCAAAACTCAGTGAAAAGGATTAATGTATGATAATGCAGCCCTCCATAGATACCTTCACCTGTAAAAGGAGAGAAAAAAAAAAGGATAATCGACTTAGTTTTATTTCTCTGAATTTGTATTGATCTGTAGGGATTTCCACTGCTGGAAAAAGTCAGAGGCATGGAGGAAGAATATCAGATACACAGTAGAAGTATAGGTGAATGGGTTCTGGAGAATTAGGATGCCAGTTTGTTGCATGTGCCATCCAGGTGCAGTTCAGTGTTGGAACATCCTTCATCAAAGTCTTGCATGTATTTAGGCAGCTTTAAACATTCCATAAATAAATAATCTCTCTCTGCCCTCCCAGAGTGTAAATTTATATTCACAAATTTTCACAATCACCATGTTGGCCAATGAGGAATTCTGGGAGTTGGAGTCACCCCAACCTTCTGGACTTAGAATCAGGAGCGAAGTTCATTCATTAAAGGGTTGCCACTTGGAAGTTTTTGGTGCTCCCTGAGCTTGGTGGTTTTATTGCAGGCATTTCATTACCCAAGCTAGGTAACATCATCAGTGCACAGAGTTATTCTGTGCACTGATGTGCATACAGTTACGTAGCGCTGTTGTGATCTTCTTCACAAGTGAAAGCTCAGATCTCCCATGTGGTCTATCCAGGACTCGACAGGCAACCGGAATTCTTGACATTGAGTTGAGGATGCCTCCCTTGAAAAGGAGACCCTGGCCCATCCATCTCTTTTACGGTGGGTGGGTAAACGATGGAAAATGATGGGTTATAGCAACAAAGCCAGGAGGATTAGTACCACTGTCAAACCCCCAATGGGGATACCTTCCTCACTTTGCAACTGCAAGAGTCCAAACCGACATTGGCAGTTATTTAAGGTGTTTCGTGGTTTTTTGTTTTTGTTTTTTTTGGCAAGTTTGCAAAAAGAACGCAAATGGTACAGAAATTTCTCTGTCCGCTCCTGGGGGTTTGATCTGTAGGATGCCCAAGAATAAGGATGTTGGAAGATCTTATGTTCCCTCCAGGCAGTGATGGAAATAGAGGAGGTGGGCTGGGAGAGTGGCCTTTTCTACTCATGCATTATTCTACATAAAAGTAATAGAAGCATCTTTGTACATAAAACATGTTTTTAAAAGAAATTTTCCAAATGGAAAATGCGTATCAGGAGAGGCTTTTTATCAAGGAAAAGAAATAGAACAATATTGGTTCTATTTCACTTTGCTAGGTAGGCTTTGCAATAAATTGCTTTCCTACGCAGCATCGTATTTGATATTTCTGTGATATATTAGGGACCTGATTTGTGTATTATCCATCATGGGAGAGAACAACTGAACTAGCTCCATTAGAACACTTCTCCCTAATCTAATAGCTTTGCCTGCCTATCTAGAACAAAAGCTTATTGGCTTTTATTTAATATGGGGATGTTCTTTTTTAAAAAAAGAAGGCATCTCCAACGTAGACTGTTTGAAAGAAATTTTTTTTTTACTTTTATCAATTGTCTGTCTGATCTAGCTTAAAGGCAAACTTGGAATATAATCTTGTAAAGTAGATCAGTATTGTTATATCTCTGCATTGTAAATACTTCTTTGCAGAAAGGCAATAGAAATTGAAAAACATCTCCCAGGATCATCTCATGAAACCGTAGTCAAAGCTGTGTTTCCAATAGAAGAGAATATTTATAGCTCAGGGTTGAACTGCGGGCTCTCTGGTGCTCTCTGAGCCTGGTTGTTTTCTGGCAGATGCTACATTATCCAACTAGGTAACATCATCAGTGTCAGAAAGGAGTAAGGTTGGCTCTCTGGTTATATACAGGAGGCTTGCTCTGATGACGTTACTTGGTTGGGTAATAAAATATCTGCAAGAAAACAACCAAGTTCAGAGAGTACCATGAACCCCACAAAGCTGTGTTCATAAGACAGGGTGTCTTGAATTGATGAAAAGTGCTTTTGTTGTTTTCCTATCCCAACTAATCTTAAGTTACACTATTAGTGCATATTTCTGAAAATGGTGGGGGAGGAGTTAAATTCCCCTTCCCAACATTTGGTCTACTTCTGAAAATGTCTCATATAGATCTGGGATCTCTAACCTTGGCAACTTTAAGACTTGTATACTTCCTGTTGGTTGGTTGAGGAATTCTGGGAGTTGAAGTCCATATGTCTTAGATTGGCTGGCTGAGGAATTCTGGGAGTTGAAGTCCATATGTCTTAGATTGGCTGGTTGAGGGATTCTGGGAGTTGAAGTCCATAAGTCTTAGGTTGGCTGGCTGAGGAATTCTGGGAGTTGAAGTCCATATGTCTTAGATTGGCTGGCTGAGGAATTCTGGGAGTTGAAGTCCGTATGTCTTAGATTGGCTGGCTGAGGAATTCTGGGAGTTGAAGTCCATAAGTCTTAGGTTGGCTAG